AGATGGAAAATACACAGAGAATTTTGATACTGTATGCTATTATGCTCTCTTTGAATTGTTTGAATGCTGAGGAAAGAGCAAAAGCTACTAAAAGATATTTATTTATAAATGCTGCTGAACTAATCCAACATAGATATTTTGAATTTGGATCTAAGAACATGATGCTTTGGAAAGGAGTTTCTTATTTTGTTTTCACAGAGGATGAGACGCTGTTCATTTCTTCTATTCCGATTTGGTATGATGGACCACGCCCTCCTGAAGGGTTGCAGCGAACATCTTCAGAAAATTGCTTCGCTCAACTGCCAACTGAGATGAAACTAGCACACAGGTTATACCATGAAAGACCTAATTAACGACGCCCCCATTCAGCAGGAAGCAGTTTGGAGAGAAATAACTGCGCCCATATTCCCAAAAAATGTTTATAAATGTTCTTTTACATTTAAAGGGGGATATGATATAGGTATGAATAATTTGCATTAGTATAGATTTTGCTTTATTGATAGAGATTTACGGTCAATTTTGTTATATATATATAAGTGTTTCTGATTTTGATTAAGGTATTGTGATTGTATAGTTCATTTAAATATGTACTGTATAATTAAGAAATATAGGTTGTTAATGGATAATCATCAATAATAGTAAAGCTTGTAGTCATGTTAGTTAGATTTTCTAGATATATAGAGATATATTTTAGATAGACATTCTTCATGTCTTTCAAAGATTACAGAATAGGACATTTAATGTTTTAATAACTGAGGACTTTTCATGACAATGAGACACTCTGCTCCTGGCAGCACCAATGTACTTCAAGAGGAAGATGGGCATCGAAGAGGCACCTTATGGAGTTTGATAGCCATTTGGGCAAGAAACTGCTCTTGCCTGGACTATTGCATAAACTGGACACAGAGAACCCACAGAGAGAGGACTACTGAACTTGCCTAAGGTGAGATGATCTTTTGGGGTTCCTGATTCATGAAAGAGTCTGCGAGACATTCTGCAGGACACAACAGATAGTGACTGAACTGACTTTGAATTTTCCTGCTTTATGGAAATGTGTGCTGGATACCATGGGCCTGAAGGCTGAAGATGGATGCCCCAACGGTACAAAAGAACTTTGGGTGACTGTCCAGGCAGCGAGATGTCTTTGTCGTTTCTAGAGTTTGAAGTTTCTTGGTTCTTGTTTACTTAGGTAATATTATATCTTTCTGGAGTCTTTGATGGAGTTAAGAATAGTAAGTTATAGTTATAGTTTTCCTTAGTTATGATAAAGATTATTGTAACTTTTACTTGATAACTGTTTTGTTATATGTAATTTTGCTATGTTAAAGTTAAAGCCTTTTTTTTTTGTTTAAACTGAAAAAGGGGAAATGATGGAGGAAGGTCATTGGCTAATAAAGGTACTGCCTTGGCCCATTTTATTGGTTAGAGGATAGGTGGGAGGAGTAAACAGAACAGAACGCTGGGAGGAAGAGGAAGTGAGCAGAGATTCCACAGCTCTCTCGGGAGCAGATGCCTCAGAGAGAGACGCCATGCCCCGCTCCCGGGATGAAGCTCCGACCCAGGATGGACTAGGCTAGAATCTCCACGGTAAGCGCACCTTGGGGTGCTACACACAGATAATTAGAAATGGGCTAAATTAATATGTGAGAATTAGCCTAGAAGAGAATGGGCCAAGCAGTGATTAAATGAATACAGTTTGTGTGTTGTTATTTCTGGGCATAAGCTAGCCATGCATGCGGCCGGGGTGCTGGGAATGCAGCCCTGCCGCCCTTATTACTACAGTTACATATCTATAATCCTGTACTCTGGAAGTTGTGGCAGGAAGATTGTAAATTCTAGTCCAGCCTGGGTTTCATAAGTGAGACCATTTTCAAAACAAAGCAACAAACAAACAAAACTGCTTGAGAAAGGATTATTTATATTTATTTATTAAGACTAGATTTAAAATATGTGTGGAAAAGCAAAATCTCTCCATAGCTACAGGGAAACCCTGTCTCAAAAACCAAAACAAACAAAAAAAAGCAAGGGTTCTACTAATACATTTAAAAGACTTTATTTGAAATATTTTACTAATTTATTTTAATGCCTTTTCTACATTATTCTTTTTCTTCACAACCATATAAACAATTTTAAGAATAGGCCCTATAAAGATGCACACACATGTATTTTTAAGGATACTTATGTTTCCCTATGGTTTTTGGAAACACACATACAGATATGGGTAGTTGAAATGAAGTTATGACACACTTGGGAGATAATCCTCCCTCAAGAGGCACAGACGATGCAACAGAAAACCCCAGTGGAGTCCAGAGATCAATACTGATATTTTCCTCAATGCTTACATCTTAGTTCTTAAGAACGAATTTCTCTCTGGGTCCTGAGAATCACCATTTATACTAGAGAGAGTAGGGATCCTAGGATCCTACTCTCTCTGACTCCCCACCAGAGATTACCTTTTAAGAAAGTCCCCATCCCCACATCTATTATGGTAGCTGAATTAACTATTCATGATTAAAGAAAAACACTAAACATAGGTTTACCTGTGTGTTCTGTAAAAGAAAGAATCAAACGACTAAATGTTGGCCAATTAGACCTAAGGAAAGGATTCCTAGGGATTAGAAAGAAACTGTATTGAGTTTTCTTGGCCTGGTAGGCTCTCTGCCAATGCAATAATCCAAATTAGACCAAATCAGACCAAATTAGAAGAGCCCAGATTAATGGATGCCAACACTCCCAGGCAGGACTCCCTCCCCGGGAAAACACGAAGAGGAAAAATGGGAGACAATGTGATCATTCCCTGGGGGGCAATTTAAATAGCCAGTGTGAGTGGTCTTGACCCTCCCTGGGGAGGGTTCACCATTTGGTGGGCTTTCTTAGAGGTAGAGTCTGGACTGCGGCCACTCCCAGAGGAGGGGGTTTGACTCCCAGCCAAACATTCCAGACTCCTTGTATATATAGATGCCAGGGGCATGGGGTGACACTTCCAACCAAACAACAGGTTGCTGATGTCCTGAAGACAATAGTGTATGAAAATGGAAAGGACAAAAATTATACAAAAGCCTTTGAGCAACTAAATTTGTCAGGAATACTTTTATCTTTGGTACTGGAACAAAACATTAATATTATTATTTTAGTTTCCCCTACCTGGGTCTTCCGTTCCTTGTAGCCAAAGGCGCATACCAATAAAATTACAATGAATTTTTTTTGTTTATTTTCTTCAAGACAGGGTTTCTCTGTGTAACAACCCTAGCTATCCTGGAACTAGCTCTATAGACCAGGCTGTCCTTGAGCTCACAGAGATCCTCCTGCCTCTCCCTCCCCAGTGTTGGAATTAAAGGCATGTGCTACCACTGCCTGGTTACAATGATTTTTAAAGCATGTTCTCAAAAATATTTGATACTTCTCCCATTGAGAGACTGTTGAGTTCCTTATAGGAGGTATGGGATATTTGCCTGAATGTATGTGTGTGCACTGTGTGAGTGTCTAATGCCTGAAGAGGCCAGAAAATGGTGTTGTATCCCCTAGAGCTGGAGGTACAGAGAACTGTTAACCACCACATAGATACTGGGAACCAAACTTAGGACCTCTGCAAGAGAAGTGCGTGCTCTTAACTGCTGAGTTGTCTCTCCAGGCCCAATTAGGAATTTTGCAGTACTCCTGAATGAGAACCATTCAAACAAAAATCACACCAAGTTAACAGTTTTATTTGAATCAAAATTCATCAATACAGAGTGGCAAATTGGGGGAACTGAGGTTCAGAAACCCAAGGGTTTAGTTAACAATTATACAGGTTTTCCAGGTTACTTCATCTCTCTTGATTTGTATTTTACTTGTAAAATAAGAGAAAGGGATTAGAAAACTAATGAGCCTTCTGACGTTGATACTGGATACAGAATAGAAGTCACTGTAGTGGGCTGGTTATTGCTCCCCACCAAAACATATCCACATTTGAATCCCAGAACCTGAGAATGTGCTAACTTGCATGGCAAGAAGCATTTTGTGGATGTGGTTGGAACACTGTAAAATGTTGTTTGTGCTGCTTTAAATCTCTGTATCTGTGGCCGTTCATTATAGCAGCAACAGGAAGCTCCAACAGTGTTAAAGAACTTGAGCATTGCTATCAGACTGTAGTATTCAAGCTGGTAGACCTAATATATACTGTATGTAAGGCCTTGGGCAAGTCATTGAAAATCTCTGCATTTTCACTGCATCTTTAATAAGGGGATCAGGGGAGGACAAGTCTGAATTACTGAGAATTTGAGGAAAATCTCAGAATCAGCCACAATTCAGTAGTCCTAAAATAAATGTAAACAGTGTTTCTGCTAAGATTTATAATTCAATTTAGGGTATTTTCTCCTTTCTCAAAAGTTTTATACTTCTTTATAAAAGAAAAGCCTTGACAGAAGAGGAGCATTAACTTCGGGAGTCGTGTGTAGAGAATCTTATTTGATCCTTATAACCAGTCACAAAATAGGGGTGATTATGTTTATCATATGAGAAAACTGAATGGGGGGGGGACTATATTTTTCAAAGTCAGTAATTAGTACTCAGAGAAATCAAAGTTGCTCACTCACTTCCTACACTCATTTGCTGGAAAACTATAGATGAGCGAGTTCCATTCCTATGAGGACAACTGAGATCCCTGAGCCGTTTGTGCTGAGTTTTGACAAGCTGACACAAGATCATCCTAACTAATCACCACAGACGCTGTCCGAGTTCTTAACGTACATCTTTTACTTAAAGAAGACAGGTCTGGTCAGAAGTGCACTCTAGGCCTAGGAGGTATCCTTAGCTCACCTAAGCAGCTCAACTCAACCAGAGTTCCTCCTCCCTGTCCTTTAATCCCCGCCCCCATTGGGTCCCGGGAAGGTTGCTCCAGTGCGACACAGAGTCGGGGCCACGTAAACAAAAGCCCTGGGCTATAAATGGAGGCGGGGCCTCCCCGGAGGCCGGTGTGCGCCTGCGAGTTTCTACAGGAGCCTTGCTCCGCCTCTGGGGACTGCCAAATCCACCATGGAGGTGTACCACCGGCCCTGCGACGAGGTACCGCCCCTCTGGCGCCGAGAAGCGCCCCTCGCCCTGGCTGTGGGGGAGGCTGTCCGGTGGTCTCTTAGAGCTTGGAGAGTTAGGTTGCGGAGTCCATTGAGCCCGAGTCTCCTCCGCTGAACCCGGATCCTTCTTGCCCCCTCGGCGTCTCCCCGCTCCTGATTGCCGGAGGGTGGTCTGATTATTCCAATGGCTTGGGTGACTGAAAGCTCTTGCGGGCAATCGGCAGGGTCTGGGAGGACCCAGTGGGTGTAGGGGGAGACCTAACTTGGGGTGCATGGGCGGGCGTTGGCGAGCCCCGCCCGTCTGTGATCTGGGCTTGGGAAACCGGTTTTCTCTGTTTTCTCCACCCTTTTGGGTCTCCTTGAGCTGCTGCTGCAAGGTGGCTGATCATGGGAACTCTCCCCAGGGACGGCTAGAGGAAGTGCTTTATGGATTAAGAGCCACTGATTCAGGTTTCCCTAAGCCTTACCCGAACTCCATGATGTAGGTTATTTTCCTGTTATTGTTGGGAACTCTGGCTTTTTATGGCGACCAAATGGCAGGCCCAAAATTAAACCGGCTAGGAATGACAGCTGTTCCGTTTAAACCCAGATCTCTGACTTTACAGTTCACCCCCATGTTTCCAGCACTTAGAAGATGCGGCCTGTTGAGTTGCCACACAGCCTGGATGAGTTTGCAAGGACAGAATAGACAGACATTTTCTGTCCACTGGTAGCTAGCCACTGGAGTGTGATACAAGAAAATGAAAGATGAGATGTTGGAGGGGCCATGTAATAGGATCTTTACAAGGACTTCTGATCCATTGGGAAAGTTTTAGGCAAAGTTGTCTGCAGAAGATTCTGTGTTGCAGAGTGCGTGCATACTTGTAGGTCAGTGGTGAAGCACACTAGTGTTAGAAATACGCACTTGCCCCCCCCCCATTACATGGTTGGCTCTTCCTTCGATTTACCTCCCAGCAAGGGTGCAAGGGAATCTTTTCCGCACTACATCCTAAGTACATGTAATTTAAAAAGAAATCGGAATGGAGGAATAGCTCGTTGGTAAACTAGCACATTAGAACCTGCCCTGAGTTCTATTTCTAGCACCAGAGAAATAGATGAAAAACCAACAGACATTATTTGTGTTACTGTAGCCAGGCAAACATCCATATTATTAGGTAATAATTGTAGTAAAATATGCATCATTTATTTCTTAGGCCAATTTTGGATGGGATTTTGAAGCAAAATGACAGTTTGTCATAGGGCTAAAATATGAGACCTTTTTTTTGGTTTTTCCAGACAAGGTTTCTCTGTCCTAGCTGTCCTGGAACTAGCTCTTGTAGACCAGGTTGGCCTCAACCTGAGTGCTGGGATTAAAGGTGTACAGTCAGGCGGTGGTGGTGCACGCCTTTAATCCCAGCACTTAGGAGACAGAGACAGGCGGATCTCTGTGAGTTCGAGGCCAGCCTGGTCTACAAGAGTTAGTTCCAGAGCAGACTCCAAAGCTACAGAGAAATCCTGTCAAAAAAAAAGGTGGATTTTCATTCCTATTTTAGGGGGATATGAGAAATTCTATAGAATAATTAATAGAGTTAGAATAAGAAAATCTGTGCTTAAAACATAACTTCAGAATTTGCTTATTTCAAGTTTTTAAAACACAAAAGTACTGCTTTCGCAATGCAGCCAAAACATTTCCATGGAAATCATCCTTATATTATCTAAAGCATCATGGCTTGTATTTCAGTCTTGTCATGTAACCTAGTTCTGCACTCAAGGACACTTAGATGTCATTGAAAATTGCTGTTAACCCAAGATTGCAACAAGTTGATTAAAAAAATGAGGCCAATTTAAACAATTAGAGTGATATTAATTTTGAATGACAGAGTATTGCGATAATCTTTAATTTAGGAAAGCAGTGGTTTGTCTCATCAGTTTAAAATAAAATTGGAAATGACAATTTAGCATCCTCTTTTTATGGGCCCCTTTACGTAGCTGAAATGATTTCCTGTATACTGATAGCACGCCATAGACGTCATTTTTAGCTAACGCCTGCTAATTTCTTGAGCTTTCTAATACAGTGCTTATCTGGAATGTTCATTTAGAGTTACTATCGTAAAAGCACTTTTCAAAATGGTATTTGCCTAAGCCCTGCCCGATCCTAATGGATCTGAATCTAGAGGGCGGGCATAGGATCAGCAGCCTCGGTAGACCTGGTGCCCCTAGCACTATGGTCTTCTGTCACTATCACTTTCTTAGACCAGCTGAGGGTATCCTGTATGTTACCATATTTATAAATAAAGGGAACCCTTGCTGAAAGCAATTTAATCCTGTGTTTTCTCTTTAGGGTGGCTTCAATGCTGAGGAAGCGCATAATGTCGTCAAAGAGGTGAGTTATAGTTGCTGTTATCTTCAAACTGTTGTGCCCAGATTACCACCCTCTGAGAGAGACCACCAGAGAGGCCCAGACTGCAATAAGCAAGGTTTAATCAGCATAATACAAACATGTTTGGAACTCATCTCCATCCCCCTTACAACAAGGTAGAGAGGAGTTGTATCTCCTCTGTGGGGTAAGCTTTTCAAGGCATAACTACAAAGAGAATCTTTGAAACTGCTTTGGCACGGATACTTTTGCTCCCTCCCATTCTGTTAAGTCAGCTTTCTCCTTGTTCTTAGAGCAAGGCCACTGTTCTTGAGTTAGGCCATCTTTGTCAGCCTGTACCAGGTGGCTGGCTGAGCTAAGTGACCTTGTGCTCAGAATCTCCCTGGTGGGAGAGGGGAAGGCCACTATCTTCCTGGGAAAACATTCTGCTAGGAAATTTCTTCTCGCCCGTTTGAGAATAAGGGGTGAGGGTTCCACAAAGCTTGTGTGGATAGAAATATTTTAAATCCAGTTTTTGATTTTTCAAGCCAAAGCTAGAAATGTTAATGCTAAAACAGCAAGATCTGAACTAAGTGTTCGCTCTCTTCAGGGGTGCACGTATGTGCAGTCTCTTGTGTTCAATGAGGCCTGTTTGAACTTCTAATGAAAGACACACTGAAACACTGCTTCAAGTCTACAAAAAGTAAAGCAGCTCTTCTTCAGAATCAGTTTTAGCTTGGAATTTCTACTAATTCTAGTGTTAGCAATTTAGACTACTGCGAGGGGGGTGAGGCTATCAGCATAGACTACCCTGGTGGCGAGGTACTTTAAGAGCACTTTAACAGTCCACAGCCATGTTAATTCTGCCAAATGCTAAGTAAAAAACCCTGAGTTGGCCCACAAGGCTTGCTTCAATTGTGGGTGTGACTCGTGGGGCCTATGACCTAGCAAGCCCTGACGGAGTTCTGTCTGGGCTGAATCACCTCCACCTGGGCACTGTGTGTGTGTGCACCACCAGCTCCCTGGAGACAGTTTTTGACTTGCCTGAGTGCTCTAAGGGTATCATCTTCTCCAGCGCTCAGCTGCTCTAAACCCTGGATAAGTAGAATCAGCTCAGTGTCTCATAGGGCTAGGCAGCACCAAAAACATCGCTGTATTTTATTAGTTGAAGAATTGTGTATTAGAATATTTGATTATTTAAAATAATTAGACTATGTTTTATATATATATATGACTATTTCATTAAAATAAAATGCTTTCAATACTCTCACAATGTCAGAGCACAAGGAAGAGCAGTTTGAAGGCAGAGGTAGCAATAATCTTATTTTTCGAAGTAAAATGTCAAGAAAGACTGTTTTTGGCTAGTAGACATGAAATAAAAGATGCTGAGTCTTTGTAAGAGCCACTTTAATATATTTTCCTTACCCAAGTTTTGAACCATATGGAAAGACAAAAGTGTTCACTTGAAAGAATAAAACCCCACCTTTGCTGTAGATAAAACTAGGTTGGTGACTGGACATGTTTTACTAGCCCCAGTGCTTCTGATCTTGCAATACCGGCTTTGCAAACACAAAAGGGAAAGTTTGAGTCAGCAGGGAGAAATACAGAATAATGTGTCTCTCTGGTCTGGGTGGAGATGGAAGGAGAAATGAAAACCCAAGTCCGAGATGCTTAAATGTGGTATGTCATTTGATAAAGGTTCCAGAGCAGACAGGTATGGGTCTGGCCTTCCAGCCCTAAACTGCGGTACTAAAGCCATTGCTGTTTTCTGGGTTTTGATGTTTGTTTGTTTTTGGTGTTTTGGGTTTTTTTTTGAGACAGGGTTTCTCTGTGTAACAGCCCTGCCTGTCCTGCAACTCACTCTGTAGACCAGGCTGGTCTTGATCTCACCATTGCTCTTAGTCAGGTGTCAAAAGTGGAAACAAGTAAGCACTGTACGATATTATTTGACTTTCTTTTCCTAGACGATCTTTATTTACTTTCACTGGCGGGTGTTTTGGTTGTTTTGTAGCTAAGCAATTACACAGCACAAATGAGATTACAATTACTATCCATAGAACTATGTTTTTAAATTAGTCCTATCCTTGGTTTTCAGCACATGAACCCTAGTTTTAATCCTATGTTGCAAAGCCATTTTTAAACAGTTAATACTATGTTTTCTTAATCCTGAAGTCGTTTTGATCACTTGCTGTCTATGCTCTGTGTTTCCTGTGTTATAAATATTAGAGGTTTTTTTTTTATTAGAGTTTCTGCTACCACAGATTCGAGTCATTGGCAAATTTATCTTTTTTTTTTTTTTTTTTTCGAGAAAGGGTTTCTCCGTAGCTTTTGGTTCCTGTCCTGGAACTAGCTCTTGTAGACCAGGCTGGCCTCGAACTGGCAAATTTATCTTTATATGACCTTTAATACTTCATAGAATGAGATAAGACTTATGGGAATGCTTTGAAAACTCTTAAGCAGCCAGAGGCAGTGCACACCAAACATTTAGTGGATGCATGTTTTCTGCTGTGCCTTGACTTTCTCTTGCAGTATATGTAAATTTGAGTTCATTTGGTTTAATGGAGCTGTCCTCTCTCCTAGTGTGTTGATGCAGTGTTGGGAGGCGAGGACTACAATCATAACAACATCAACCAATGGACTGCAAGCATAGTGGAGCAATCCCTAGCACATTTGGTTAAAATGGGCAAAGCTTATAAGTACATTGGTAAGTGTTGATGTGGGGTCCTTCCTCACCAGTTGCCATGCCTTTATCCTTCTGGTTTTCTCTGAAGTCGGAGCATGGATCCTAACAACAGGCACTGTAGTTGAACACTGGTTTAGGAAGCACTTCTGACTTGTCCCTTTGAATGTAATACATGATGCAGCGTGAAACTGGAGGGCTTGCAGTCTAAAACAGTTTAAACTGCCTTCCCTTGGTAGCAGCAGTTCTCTTTGCCCACTGAGACCCTTCAGGGCTGTCATCCTCTCAGCCTTCCATGCCTCTGTAGAGGCCTGTGAAAATCCACACATCAAGTACAAAGTGAAATTGTCCCCGCATTTCTCTCTGGAATCTGGTAGTGGCACAGAGTGCAGTTGGATCCAGAAGTTGTCTGCAGTACAGTTGTTGGCGGTTATAGTAATGGTTCAGGAAATGGCTGAGTCTCCTGAAAATAAGTTCATCATGGTTAATTTCAAGAGACTATTTTAACCTACTAGCTGAATTATTTTGTTACTTATTTTTCAGCGTTTAGAGTTCTGATACAAATATTTCCACCTTGATTCTTTCCCCCTTTTGCTGTCACGCTATGACTTTCTTTGCAGTGACCTGTGCTGTGGCCCAGAGGAGTGCCTATGGATTTCATACAGCCAGCTCATGCTTTTGGGATACTACATCTGATGGTAAGAGACCATAAATTAATTTGCCCAGAATCAAAGTTCCAGCAAAGTCAGTCTGTACTTATTATGTAGCTCTACTTAAAGTCTGAAAAACACCATATCAATAGAATTGCTTCAAGTGCACTCACAAGTAGGGTTTCAAGTCAGTATGAAATGTGAAGATAGAACATATTAGAGGAAATATTACTAAAAGCTATGTGTGGTTGTGTGTTCGTCTGCTGTGTATAAATGTGTGTGTGTGTGTGTGTGTGTGTATTAATTACTTAGTGCCTGGTAGTTTTGATGTTTTACTGATGTGTAAATGTCCTCTTCTTCTATGTTTTCAGGAACCTGTACTGTAAGATGGGAGAACCGTACCATGAACTGTATTGTTAATATCTTTGCAATTGCAATTGTCCTGTAACCCAGTAAATATGGGTTCAAGCCATTACCTTAAGTTCGTGAGTGTATCCTTTCTAAAAAGAGTAATAATTACCTATTAATGTGCTAGATGACAAGTGTGCAATATGCTTCAAAGCTATCAACAAAAACTGAATATTATAAGGAAAAGTCTAATAAATAAGATCTTAGCAGAGATATCACAGTTTCATTTAAAGACACAAATGTTAGCCAAAAATTAATGCAGAAATATTGACTAACATAAGATTAGGATGTTCTATTTATACAAGCCTTTCACTAGCATCCTGCTCCCGCAGAGATGGGGTAATCTACTTAGATGCTGACAATATCTGTATACTAGAAAACTTAACAGGGATAAATAAATATGTGAACAAAAATGCTGCAATGATCAGTGCAGAGAAAATTACATGAATTGGCTAATACCTTTCTTATTTATTTTAATTTCTTCCCTTCATTGGATTATATATAATAGTTGATGGAAAGTAATTTTGACACCCCACCACCACCTGTATCTAACGTTATAGTAGCAGCTATGACTAACCTGTTTCATTTTCCTGAGAACCTGGCAAAGCCATCTTTCTAATATCAATTTCTTGCATTTACACTTGAGGTGGAATTAAATAATCACCAGGTTTCCTGCTTAAGCAAAATTAGTTAAGTATATGATCAACAGTATCTGACTCAGACACCTGCCTTACAATCCACTCATTCCATGAGAAACATTATCTACTGAATGCCTGTTGTGTGTGTTTCTCTGCCGGGCATGGCAACTCTCAACAGGGTGTTCAAGTGTTAAGTTTCTGTTGGTTTCAGTTGGAAAACTGGTATCTCTGAGGAAGGGTTGAAAAAGAAAGGAAAAGTCTCTGGACCTCCATGGAGAACTAGCCAAAAGGAAAGCACTAATTGATGGCAGAATTATACATAAAATTTTTAAGGGTTGCTTCTGATAAAATAAACACATAAAATATGCAACTCTTACTTAAAGGCCTTATTAGTAGTCTTAGTTATACAAGTCATAAATTTTATCGTTGCATTAGGTATAGCTATGTGTGCATAATTTAAAATACTTATGTGGAGTTAGGATTGAGTGGAGTAGAATATACATTAAAAGTGAACAATCATTAGTTGTGGGTTATCTAATTTCTCAGGGCTTATGAAATATAGCTAAATTTATTAAGAAAATCAATGCTAAAACCTAGGGTACACAACTGGCCACCAAATGTCTGCCATTTAATCTTGAAAATGAAATCAATTTTACATGTCACCACTGGCACCCAATCCATGTAAGGATTGAAATCCTGAGTCATTGAAATTTTAGGGTAAAGAAAAGCTTAGTATTAATGGCAACAATATTAAAACAGGATTCTTAGATGAGTACTACATGCCTGGTTGGCATTTTGCCAAGTAACTGTAATGACAAGAATGCAAAGATAGGGTTTCAAGCAGTGACCTGTGACTTTGGCACCTCAGAAATTCTTTGTTATTGCCTGTATGTTACTTTATGTGCTGGCTCTTGTACCTCTGGAGATTATACTAGTGACCAAACTGTGCAGTTAAGACTGATTTTTGACTCTTGTTGTTGAAGCCTCATTTTAAAATAAATCATACCTCGTGAGCTTGCTCTCTGCTGTTTCTAGTTCAAATATAATAAAGACTATCTTACTGTGCTGAACATTTGGCTCTGCTTCATAACTCATTGCCTTTACTTTAATAACTTCCAAGCAGGATGAATGGAGGAGGGAAACAAATGTGGGATCATAGAAATACATTGCAAAAAGTAAATACATTAATATACACATGGGTCTGAGCAGGAGGATCAACACTAGGAGGCCAGACTTGGCTACCTAGCAAAACTGCGGAAACGGGGGTTTGATCCTATGTAATGTGATGGCTTTGTGGGAGCCCAGCCAGTTTGGATGTTCACCTTCCTTGATATGGACGGAGGTGGGAGGTCCTAGGTCTTACCACAGGGCAGAAAACCCTGACTGCTCTTTGGACTGGAGAGGGAGGGGGAAAGGAGTGGGGGGTGGAGGAGAAGGGTGGGAGGAGGGGGCATGGGGGGGAGGAGGAGGAGGGAAATGGGAGGCTGGGAGGAGGTGGAAACTTGTTTTTTTTCTCCTTTTCTCAATAAAAAAATAAAAAAAATAAATAAAAAAAAATATTGCCACGCAAATCGAGTCTTGACCATTACAATACAACCGTAGCTTCTAGTTCATGCTTCTTATAATTATACATTTTAAAAATTATTTGTAATTTTTAACACAAAGTTTCTCTTTAAAGTTAGTGTAAAATATAGCATAACCATTTTTAATGATTCTTCTTAGAAAATAATTTTGTCTTCTTTGTCAAAATGAAAATAAGCTGTTGTGTCTTTAAAAATATTAGGGATTTTAAGTAAAATTAGGGTATTTGCATGTAATACTCTAGTACCCATGTAATTCAGTTAGTGTAAGCACTAACTGCAATGTTATGCAAAGCTTTAATTTTGTGTTTGCAAAGTCCTAATTGACTGCCTAAATAATGGCAACATCTCATTAAAGAGCACTTTTCTGTCCTTCTTCCCAAGCTGGGTGTTAATGATGAGTCATTGGGTGGGTTTCTCCGCCTGCATTCATCATTCATTTTATAGCGATCTTAGGGTTGCACTGTAAAAGTCCTGCTTTTATATTCTTGGTAACAGTTATTAAGAAAGGATCGGGAAATATATGACTATTTCGGGAGAAGTGATTAAGTCTCTTTTATGGCACATATCAAAGCAAAGTTTAAGATGAACTGAAATTACTTTCCTCATGTGCTGGAATCTGTCCAAGGTGAAATTGTTTTATGATTCAAAAGGTGGAACTGTGTTTATGGCTAAAAATCCTATGTCCATTGTTAAATTGTTCTGTTAACTTTCTACCTTATATGGTGAATGTTTTAGTTTAGCATAAGAAGTACTGTGTTTCATTATGGCATTTTCATAATATGTGTCACACCCGTTCCTTTATGTCTGATTCCCCCATTGCCATCCCCCTTTCCCTGTTCCCTTGCTGGTTCCCTTCCTCTTCTGATAGGCCTTCCTCCTTCTTTCATGTTCCATGTATTTATGCAATACTTTTGAACATTCATCCAATATAAGATGTATTAGCCAGGTGGTGGTGGCATATACCTTTAATCCCAGCACTTGAGAGGCAGAGGCAGGTGGTTCTTTATGAGTGTGAGGTCAGCCTGGTCTACAGAGTAAATTCCAGAGCTACAGCCAAGGTTACACTGAGAAACCCTGTCTCAAAAAACACAAACACACAAACAAAAAGATGTATTTATTCTTATGAGGCTTTGTGCTCATTTTGGAATGCATTCTACCACTGTTCTTGGCCTGGTTTCACTTTTTTTTTAAAAAAAAAGGTTTACTTATTGATTTATGTACATGGTTGTTTTGTCTACAAACAGGTCTGTGTACTTCTTGCATGGTTGATGATGCCTGTGGAGGCCCAAAGGGGGGATCAGATCTCTTGAAACCGGAGTTAGAGACAGTTGAGAGCCACCGCAGATGTGCATGCTATCAGATCTTGATCCTCTACAAGAGCAACCAGTGCTCTTAGAGGCAGAGCCGTCTCTCCAGTCCCTGTTTTCACGGTTTCTTTTGAGACAGGCTCTCCTTTTGTAAGCTCTAGTCATCTTTCTTGTTTCTGGGGGCTAATTGCACTTTGTGATGGATTCCAGCGTCCATCTTCAAAGCCAGTAGAGGAGCATCAGATCTCATCTCTGACCTCTGAGGCTTAGGGTTTTTTTTTCCTTTCTGCCTGATCTTGTCCTATTAAAAATCCTGTGAATCCGTCAGCTACACTCAATAATTTATTCCAACTACAAGATCTTTAACCACTCCTGCATAGTTCCTTTTACCATAAACAGACCCACAGGGTTCAAATGAAGGATGTGAGCATCTTCCAGGGAGTGTTTCTCCATTAACACTCTTCTCAGCGCATGATTCCTAGTGCCAGTGGACTCTCAACGTGAGCACCAGGAAATTCCAGACTAGGTAGAACAATGATAACTGGCCTGAACATGCTCTAGTTCACAGGAAGTTGTGCTTCAGCTCCATCATCAGGTACTGTTAAGGCATGAAGGCTCAGGTGTGCATACTCTCTCAGCCTTAAAAAAAATCACGTCATGATTATGATATGAAAAAAATCTCACTAAATTTTGAATTTAAAAACATTTAAATATTGGCTTTTGGCTTAAGCAAGCCCAATAGATAGTGTTCTTCTTATTCCCTATAGTTTCCACTCTCCTTTTTCTTCTATCCCTTCCTACCTCCCTTTTCTCCCCTCTTTTCTTTTCTTTCTGAGACAGGCTCTTGTTATGTGGTCCAGGCCATCCAACCGTCCTGCCTCTGACTGTCAAGTGTTGGCATTTCAGGTGTGCTTAATCATGTCCAGACCCCTCCATTAATTGCAAATCACTTAGGAGATGAGAATGATAGAATAATAGAAAAATATTATATTTCAGTTCTGTACTAGGACTTTCCTGAGCCAACTGGTCTTTTCTCATGTTAAATTCCAGTATGAGAATCCTCACTCAGATGAAGGTAGGAACATGATGTTTCTGGGAAACCATGTACAAAAAAGAAGTGGAGACAAAGCCCCTTCACCTCCCAAAGAAGGCAGGCATGAAGGAGTAGAGAAATTCAAGAATGCTACAGGAATTCTGTGCATAGAAAACAAGGAAAAAGCACCATAAATGGGGATTAAGCTGATCCCTTAACACTTGACTGGATTGGCTCAATTTTACAGTTTCTAGTAGCTCTAGCCTTCTACTACCCTCTCCAGCACCATCCTGGGACCTCCATTATTTGTATAATCTGTTCACACATGCCTCTTCTACCAATAGTCAATGGGCAAAGAGCAGGAAGTGAAATCAGCTATAGTGTGGGCTCAGTAACAAGTCAACAGTGGATGCATCTGTCAGAGTTGTCACCATGCTAATAGGGACCAGATATCTAACAGAATTAGTGGCCTATAAATCATTAGTAGGGTTTTTTTCATTAGTAGGTTTTTTTTTCTGGAGGCAGTTTCGTGACATCTGTCAATTTTTTGTGCTTCTATCATATGAATAGTTCTTTAGCTCAGCACCACAGAACTAATAGCATGGCTCAGAAAAGGAAAGGGCAAATAAGGTTCTTCTCTTT